AATATAATAGAATTAATATTTAACTAATTACTAAATACCTGAGTTTTGCAACTACGAAACTTAATGCCTAATTATTGATATAAATTTTTCCCTTGTGGTGTTGATATAATTAATCCAACACGTTAACATCATCGTTTAGGATTTATTGGATATCAAAACCCAACAACTTTGAACCAAAAAGAAAATGCTATGAACAATTATTACAATTAACGTAATCAACTTTTTTTTTTCTATTTCTTCAGCGCCCAACAATTACTTAGACGGGTTAAGATGATTATTATTTTATTTTTTTTATTTCACTAATTGTACGTTAAGTTGTGTGGCTCGTTTAAAAGTTCTATATTCTTTTTTTTTTCTTCAAATATTAAATGAACAACTCATTTGGGAAGTGACCGTTTTCCCCCATAAATCATCATAAACAAAATTCATGGATTCTTTTACAAGGAAAAAAAAATTATGAAAAAAGTTGACAAATTTATATCCCACTAAAATCACCATAAGGCCATGGTTGGCTTATTTCGAACCACACATTTGTATGGGATCCATGGCTCATAATGGCGCTTAACCAAAACACTTTTTTTTACCAGCACTCGTATAACTTGATATCAACACGAAGTCTGAAATAAACCTCCCCTTCAAAAGAATCTGTGCTCAAAGTCGCAATTCCTCTAGACATGAAAAAATCGCCAGTTCCACCAATGACAGAAATGTCCCTTGTCTTGTTCATCAACGGATCAGCCCCGGCGAAATTTATACTACCCTTGTGCTCAGTAGAATTGAAAACAAATGAAAACCCTAGCCATGCAGTGAATATATCCTTTTTGTCATAAAGATAGAATCCTTGTGCTCGGCCAACTGGGGTTGAATGGAGATTATTATCTAGTGTAATGGGATCATCAAACACCACCATGTTGCCAAAATGGTTTTGGCCACTTAAAATCGTTCTATTTCCCCACGCTGGTGACCCTACAATGGCTGCAGTTGCATTCTTGGAGTTGTGGCCGTTGTAAAGAATGTCATGGAAGTAAAACACCAGTCGTTTGCACGGCTGTGGTCGAGCTCGGATTTTTGGGATCGGTGTGGCTGAGCATTCAAGGACGAGGAGGAGGAGGAGGAGGAGGAAAACGAAGGTAAGTGAAGGGAAATTGGTAGTTCTTTCCATTTTTGTATTGGGGGTGGAGGTCGTAAGAATGGAGAAGTGAATATGACCTAGTTGAGTGTGTGGAGATAGGCAATATCCACTTTCTTTATATAGAGGTTTTCTTGGAGGTAATTAATGTAAAAGGAGAAATTAAGTCCTTGTTTGATTCCAATTTTTTTTTAAATACGTTTTTCTCTATCTTCTTTTCAATCACACGTTCTTCAATAAAATAATATTATACACAATTCAAAATTTTTTCTTCATTTTTAACCACACATTCTCCATCAATTTACTATTTTAAAATGCATTTTACACCAAAAAATAGGGTTCAAACATGCCCTCAAAATGAGCCTACAAATTATCTCACACGATCCATGATGATCAGGAGCATGAGGTGAATTTGTGTTAGCTTTCAGTATAGCTGACTCGAGAAATTTATCTTCATCGATTAGAGGTCAAGTCATACATCGATTTTAAAGTCTCGTGATTTCTTTTTCATTTTTATGAATATCAATAAAGAACTCACCTACGAGTTTTTTCTTTAAAAAAGTAAAATGAAGAATGGACCCTCATAATCCATAAATGTATATAATGCTTGACTTTTAAGGCATCCTATGATGAGCCTGAAAAGGTTTGAAAATAATTGTTATAACATGTGATGGTTAGTGCTTTAGGTTTGGCTTGAAGTCTAAGATTCATATAATCATTATGCCCCCCCGTTTAGTCCCATTGAATTTTTAATTTTTTTTCTCTTTCTTTTTATCAATTACGTATTTTTCAATAAAATAATATTACACGTAATTCAAAAACCTTTTTTTAAACCACACATTAAAAATATATATATATTTCAACCATTAAAATTTTAAATAATGAGAGCCAAACGGGAGTTATATAGGATGCATCAGTACGGACAAATTCTTCAAGAAAATGATATAGGATTCTTCCCGAATTCATATTTTTTTATTGGATTTTTTTTATATAATTAAACTCATTTATTTAAAAGAAGGAAGGGGGAAAAAAAAACATATATAGTACGTGAGAAGTGTGTTTTTTTAGTTCATCTGATTTTTCGATATATAATCTTAGTCGGTGAAATCTCTTTCTTTTTGCTACCCATAAAAAAAATATTTTTTGTTAGGTAGCCAAGTCCAATTATGAAAGTAGTGAATTTTCTTGCATTTGAAATGGTTGTACAATTAGTTAAGATATGACACCTAATTGGCAAAAAATGGATTAGTTAGGCCGATTCTAGCACACATCGCAATTTCTACCTACCAAAGAGTGTTTTGCTTACATCTTGATTCATCTAAATCTCTCTTAACAAATTATACCTCTTCTCGATCGACAAAGTATCCTATGAGATATATTCGATTTGCACCATATTCAAACTTTGATTGATCCCCATTTCTTTAAAAAATAAATTTTTTTCTTTCTTCTTTTCAACTGCACATTATTCAATAAAAGAATATTGCGCACTACCCAAAAACTTTTCCTTCTTTTTTAACCACACATTCTCCATCAATCTATCATTCCAAAATTCATTCTGCATAAAAATGGAGCTCAAACAGACCCTTAATATATTTAGTTAAAAACTTAAACTGTTAGGATAAAAGACGTAGATCTTTATTTAGGAAGTATACTTCTTGCTTATGGGTGAAGTTCTTGAAGCAACCATATGAAATAGGATATATATAGTTAGGGTGGGGGAAGAAAATAGAGGGTTTAGCTACTTGCATAGTCATTAATATTATGGAATTTTTATAAAAATAATTTCTTCAAAAGTAAAATAGTAAAATTAACTAAATCGTATATAACAAAATTATAAGAAGGTGTTTGTGTTTTCTTTTAAGTTATTTATAAGAAAAAATTAAAATCAAACTTTAATTTTAACTACACATGTATAACTATTATCCACACATTTCTAGGACCAACTTATAAGTTGATCCAAACACACGCATAGTTTGATAAGTAGATTAACAATTTTTCGAGGTAGATATTAACAAAAATTACACGTGTTTTCACCTGGAATATACATTTTTTTCACTAGATATTTATATTTTCAAATTATACCATAATTTTGTTCCAAAAGTACTTACTTTGTCATTTATGAAATAAATAAAACTAAAATAAGTTGAAGAAAATCTTGGGTTGTTGTTGGGAATTGCCCAACAAAATGGGCCATCCAAACTCAACAAGTGCAGGCCTGAGCTGGACTTCGGCCTATTCCATAGTGTGTGCCTGATGAAAAACTTAGGTCACTCCGATTCAAGCCTTTTAAGGGAAATTTACACAAATATCTAAATGAATAATTACATAAAATCAGCTGTTTACTTTTTTAAACTTTTTTTTAATCAAAAATCAGGTTTTATCATTTTTAATTAATAATGATATTATAAAATTAAAATAACCTATATACAAACACTACTACCTACCCCACCAAATTTATTTTAAATATAAAACCTATCACAA